AAAAAAGAAAATCCACTTACTTATGTGAACCTTTGTTCTTTTAAAGGAAAGTCACATTTAATGGAGCCTTCACTTGTATGGGACATTGTTGGTCCTGTTGCTGCTGCATGTGCTAATAATTCATTGGCCTGCCAATTATTCCTTTGACATATGAAAGAGAAAGGAAGAGGAAAAAAAGCAGGAGTCAGAGGAAGTACCGTTTGCACGCCACTTGCTTAAAGACTGCTGGAGCCAAAGACTCTTGGATGTCTTCCTATTTTTTTTTTAACCCTTTTCATACTTTAAGGACTTTTTTTGAGAGCTCCACACAGGCGTTCTGCTGTCTTTACTGTGAAGCGCAGCCCCTTTATTACCAGGCCTCTAGTGACCTCACCCCGCTGAATGAAGTCATTGACTGAACTGCAGGGAGACAAACCTGCGTTTCGGGGAATTAATCAGGTCCATCAGTAGCAGAGCTTCTGGGCGCTGGGCAGCCGTGCTGGCTTGACTGGGTCTGTTGCCCCTGGGAGCGATGTGGGGTAGTTACAGAGCTGACAGCTAGCAGATAGCCTACCGTCCTTCATATTAAGAGCACATCAAGGCCTCCCAGATAAAGCGTCAGGGTTGAGGACCAGAGAAGGAGGCCTGTCTTGCTGAGTGCAGCATGACCTCACCCTTCACATATGCAGCTTAGAGTTTGGATGATGGAAGAGAGCGAAGGACCTGTTGGGAAGGGGGGCAATTTGGATGTTTAGTCACCTGAAACTCTGTTTTCTTAACATGTCGCTTCCCAGTGGTGAATAAAATGATTATAATGATAATCCCCCCCCCACCCCATCTTTGCTCCCTGTACTCATTTTTTCTCTCTTACTGTCATTTGCGAGTTCTCAGTTGTGTTTCAGCCTGTCGTCGTAATTTGCCTTCCGTGATGACATGCTGCTCCATCCAAAAATGAAGAGAAGACCCCCTTTAGACACTACCAATTAGAGAGACAATTAGACTGAACCAAGCCACTCCAGGGCTACTGAGCAGTCATCTGGATGTGCCGCCTGCTAAGTCTGGGGTGTGTTTGAGTAATTATGTCTATTTCCAGATAAACTTACCCCTTGCATATATTTTTTTATGTTTTACTTGTCGGTATGTCGGTCATATATGTGAGTATGACAATAGGATTTCCTGTGTTTAAATATATAGAGGTCAGGATTAGAAGTAAGGAGTTGTTTTGAGCTACTTTATGAGGAGAGCAACAGTGAAAAGCTAGAGAGCTCCTTGTCACAAATGAAGAGCCATTAGCTGGCCAGCCACTGCTTTGTTATGCTAACAGTTCAGCATTCTATGCAGAAAATGACCCCTTTTTGCCCTTTTTGAACAAAATAGACATTATTTTATCATTTTATTGCCGGCTTTCTTGTCTGCGAATGGCAGTCATTTGGCCATGTTTGATGGCGCGGGTGTGTTTGTGGTGCGTCTGAAGAAAGGTGGTGGGGAGGGTTCGCGTCTGAATTCCTGAGCTGCGTGTGAAAAGGGATCGCTTTCTTTGGGGCTGAATTTAATGAGATGATCAATGACCCTCAAGATTCGCATTCACAACAGGGAGAGAAAAGGAATGAGGGAGCTGGAGACTCAATGGGTTTTTACTGCGATTGTATGTCAGCTGTGGTCCCCCTTTGAAAATGTGAATTGTTTTTGAAACATGAAATCCTTCTTTTTGATTGCAGAGGGCTGGATTTCCTTTGATGTAGCTCAGGGAGACAGAAACAGGTCTAGAATTCTTCTTCAAGTAAGTTTGTGCATTAAAACAGATATCCATCAATGAGCATAAATGAGGAGGTGATTGGATAACTGCTTTTTTATGCACATTGTTGAAACACCTGGGTCACAGTGAAAGGGTTATTTCACAATCAGCAAATGGACTATGATGGCTTAGCAATGTACGCTGCTTGTCAGACAATTTGTTCTGACTGATTTCGACTAATTGTGCTCACCTTCCCCTCTCCTTCCCTTTGAACTGTAAAGGTAAGAAGGAAAACTGAGCGGTATGCTTGAAGCAGTACTGACAGATTGGACTGTGTTCTCACTTTGAATTAGAAAGCACAAAGTTAGATGTCAGAATGTGTAGCTTTTGAAATCATGCAACACTAATATGTACACACGGTGTGGGTGTATTTGTTGTAAATTAGCTTGCATTCTGCATTAATTGTGATGTATTTACAATAACATTAGCATAAAACAATGCACATTAGTGTCTTTGCATTTTGCATACAAGACTAAAAGTGGATAGTGCCACCTTGACAAAACTTAGATGATTTTATCTTTGTTTTTCCATATGCATTTAGAGCATGTGTGTACATACATGAGTTGAGTACATTGAAAAGACACAGTTCTCTGCTGTGTTTTTTGTGCCCTCTCCCCTAATTTGCCTATTGTGAGTGTGTGAGGGGGAGCCAGCAAGATGACATCAAGCAGCACACAGTGTTTGAAGTGCCAGTCCTGAAGGAACCACTTATAGCAATTAGGATATCCTTGAACAAGCGTTTGCGAAACATTGGCTGGTTTTTGGCATTTGCCTCCCGTTCCTGCCTACTAACTAGCAAGGTTTGATCTCCCATAATTATCTACCCACCGGCTCCTCACTCTTGACAGCTCCCTCCCTGGAGAGGGCTGAATGCCGGGGCTACTCACTGATTGCATCAAAGTGTCAAAAATTGCAACATCAAAAATAATAACTGATATTCCGGCGGCAGGCTGCTCTTTGAATATTTTCTTTAAAACGCTCACTAATTTGTGTCTCACATGGTGCCAATGTGTGTATGACTGTGAGGGCTTAAAGCAAATAAAAGCAGTGGAAGTGCATTCATTACTGAATCCCTATTTACATATGGCAAACTATTCTGTCTGAACTGGCATGAAATAGACATGCATTTACTCTACTGTTGCTTTAGCCCCATTCCACACTTCTTGTAGGACTTGCTCAGCATCTCCTTATTTTTGTGTTTAAATACTTTTCCCCCCCCTATGGCCTTAAACATCATGACTGGCATATATGTCAAGAATCCCATTGACAAAAAGTGGTAGTATAGTATACTGTTGCAAAAAACAAAAACAAACAAAAAACAGGCCAATAAGAATATAATTAATAAATAAAAATGTTGAGATGTCTAACTTGGCTGACTTTCAAATCTTTTACCTTATGACCAATAGGAAAAACTACTGAAATAAAACTGAAAATTCTGATAATGCAGAACAGTACTGGCAGGAATTAAAAGACTACACATTTATAAAAAATACAATTTCACTTTTAATGTATTTCATTGGAATTTTAATTGGATAAACCATCACACTGTGAGCAAATAAGTAAACAAGCAAGTAAGGTTTATCAGTAAAATGCCTTTCATAGTCACAAAGCACTGAACAGAATAAATCACAGTAGAATGCAAGTAATGGTAATCTTCGCAAATATGTAAGTATCAGAAGAAGAAAGCTAAATGTATTTTTTTCACAATTAAAAATCTGAATTTACGTTAAAAATTATGTTAAAAGCAAACTGCTTTAAAAAGACAGAGTAATTAATTGGACATGCAAAAAAACAAACAAATACACACTGATATTTAAATAAAAACCAATTCAAGCCAAGTTGTAACACAATTCAGTCAAGTTCAGCTTTTTAAATAAGGTATCTCCTCAAAGAAACTCAGGCAACTGTTTCAAGTCTCTGACAGCAATCCCTCCCCTTTAGGAGCATGTGTCGGCAGGACACAACTTATTACATGATTTATTAATTTGCGGCAATCACTCATGCGCAAAAAATAATTAGACCAACAGAATAGCCACATTTCATTACTATTTAAGTTACAAGTATTTGTTGGTATGTCGCTAATGGCATTGTATACCTAGCATCAAATCCTAGTCCTCAAGGGCCAGAGTCCTGTAATTTGTAGATATGACCCAGGACAAAGCACATGAATCAAAAGGCTAAATGAACTCCTCATTAAACATGAAAAGGCACCTGGATATTAATACTTTTTCAGGGCATTAAGGAAACATTTTCAGCTTGTGCTGCTTAAAACAGCAAACATAAACCAAAATGGATGTATCTGTCAGACTGGCTTTCAGCTTCCTAAAGTTGTTAGGGTTACTTTACCTTTCTACAAACTATGACACCTTTTCTACCACAAGTAAAGGGTCATTTAGAGGAAGTAATATAGCAAAACCCCACTTTAAAAAGTCTAAACAATGTTAAGACTTTTTAAAACCATTTACCAAAATGTTTGTAAATGGGTTGTGGCCACTGCCATAAAAAATCTTCAGGCTGCAGTAACCTCAAATAATGCTCACAGAAATGTGAGCCAGTGTGCAGGCATGCACATAAATATTTTGTTAGGCGGTGTGTCCAGAGGGTCCACTTGCAGCGATGTTAGAAGGCACTTTGAGGGTGACATCCATATTTCAACACCTATCTTGACTTCCCTGACCTTGCCAAGTTACACATTAATAACACATTTATAATACATAATCTCTTCCTTGTTCTTCCCATGTACACTTTTTTTTTCCTCTGGCACGGGTGGTATTCGTTTTTAATTGTGGACATCACAGGAATAATTTGCTGTGTCTCACATGCTTTACAGATCATTTGCATCACCTGCCCAGTGTCTGTGAATGAGGGCTTAGCCTTGCTAGTGGTGAGTATTACTTCAATGAATTGAAGGGGACAATTCTGTGCTAAAGCAAAGAATTGAGATAGACAGTCAGAGGAGGTTTTGCAAGAATGAAATTAAAATCTGTGCAGCTGCGAATGGGGTTGCTTTACCGGAATAAATTAACGCCCAAAAAGAGGGGAGAGGCAGGTTTGCTTTGCAATGACAAATGTTGATTTCCCTCGAGGTATTTAAAGTGATTTGACCCAGTCATTCTTTTAAATCACAGACAGGAGATGATAAATGTGCTACTAATGAGGCCTCTGCATTTTATCTCTCACTCTGCCTCCTGCAGGATTGCCCTGACTCCTGGAGCTGCTGCCAAGCTTCTAAAAAGCACCCTTACCCTCAGTAAATCCCAACAATGCAGAGTGCAGAAAAAATCATCCACACATATCTCATACATGCTGTGATAGATTGTCAGAAAATTAAAATCAAACACGCAATCGCATTGTTCTTTAAATGCACTCTTTTTGAAAGCCCCGCTAATCTGTAAAAAGAGTTACTGAAATTCAACCCTGTCAGCATTTGTCGACATTAAGATAATCTTCATACCAAGACCCATTTTTTTCTTTATCTGTCTCTTCCCTCCATCTTAGAGGTAAGCACTTTGTCTATTTACACATGACAAAAACCAGAGCTGAAGGAGCTGTTAACAGCATGGCCCTCATTATCTGCTGCATTGAGCATGTTGCAGAAAGAGATGAAGGCTCTTTTTTAGGTGCGGATGTAGAGCATCATTGATAGGGTGTGCTGCTTTACTCTTTTGCAGTGGGCCTCTGATCAATCAGTGCTGACGAGGTGGGGGTCTTTGTGTGCCACATGGCGGGACAAATGTCTGCCAAAGAGCGGGACTCACCTGAAAAGGGGATGCTACACACACCAGCCAGCCCCTCGCCTGCGGATTAGTGCCAGTGCGCTTTGATGGATTAGCACATAGAAAAATTGCTTGATTATTGATATGAAAATGTTTTAAGGGGGGAGAAGGGGGATCATGGGGAAAAGGAGGTTCACAAAGTGGTGTGTTTCTGAGGGATATGTGTGGTTATTATCTCCCTCGCTTTGCCTTCACTCACCTGCCTACCCCCCCACTTCGCCCTTCCTTCAGAGAAATAGTGGTACAAAAGAAAGATGAAAACACAAGGAGGAGTCAGAACCTGCCCGGGCTTTCTCCATGAGAGACACATTCAGCTGCACTTCATGAAATATTGTTCATCATCATATTAACAGGGCTGAACGTGTGGAGATAAGGCCTGTCTGAAAAAGAAGTGAGCAGAATGTCCCTGTGAGATATTTCAATCCTCATCCCTCCGAACATTAACTTATTCATTCTTTCAGCGTGAATATGAAATGCAGCAAGACCATTTTTTTTTCTGCCAGCCCGAGAAAATGATGACATAATCACCTCCCATTTAATTGCTTGATTTGTCAATCCCTTGCAGTCCAGCACTGTTCTCCTTCAAGTATTCTGTCCGGAATACTTTAGCTGTCAAATATCACCCGTAACAGAGTAAAGCCTGAAATTTGCATAGTGAAATAAATATGTGCATGTCGTGGTGAGCAATAAATACAAATGTCAGTATTTCATGACATGAACATAATCAGTTTCAGACAGAAGCAGTCTCTTCATGTATTAAAAGCTGGTGAAGGAGCACTATCTCACTTGGTAATTACAAATATGCAAAAGTTTTCACACCCCTTGAATCTCAGACATTCCTGAAAATTCATAATAAGATAATGTATGAGACAGTTTTGGAAGGAACAAATGGCAGAAAATTCTATGTATTTTGTTTTACAAACAACAATTTGAAAAACATGCCATATATTAATATTTGGTCACACTTAATCTGATGCCCCTAAATAAATCCATTGTAGCCATCTTAGATATTAGTAAACATAAAGTCCACAAGTGAATCATTAGAGACAGCTGGTTTGTTGTTTTGTTGAAACAGTCTAGGGCAACATATTCACCCACAGAAAATTCAAGTCCAAAAAAAAAAAAACACACCACACAGGTCAAGAAAGCAATTTCTTGACCTGTGTCAATTTCTTGACCTTTAATACAGGTCAAGCAATTTCTTGACCTGTATTAAAGAAACTCAAAGCAGTATTTGATGATAAAACAATATGTATTTCTTTTTAGAAATGCAAAGGGTATTAGTCAAAGAAGCAGTCAACGGGTCCATAGCATCGATGAAAAACCTCACAAGTAGAAGAATATGTTGACAAAGAAAACTACTAATCTGAAGTCACAAGAAAGAAAGTTGTTGTTGTTGTTGAAAGAAACTCATAAAAGTTTATAGTTTGTGACAAATAATGTAGGGAACATAGCAAGCATGTGGAAAAAAGATGCTCTGGTAAGAAGAGAACAAAATGGAACGTTTTGGCCTACAAACAGAGCTATGTGTACCAGAACAAAAAAGGTCAGTGGTGGGATCATGACGCTGTGTAAATGCATTTTCTCCTCAGGAGAAGGGAAGATCGTAAGACTTGATGGTTGAGTCTGAATATAGTCCAATCCTTGAAGAAAACCTCACCAGAAAAAGACTGGTGAAGTTGTTCTCTTGCTATATCAATTTAGCAAAAAAAAAGTTCATATTTTACATGAAACAAGAAGTAGGTTTTTAGTCAAAACCTACCTAAGAAGATACAGCACTAAGTGACTCAAAGAAACTTGAGAGAATGATTTTTAAATATTACTGGTGAAAAAGTTTAAACTCAAATACCATTTTCCCTCCACCTGACAAGTTGTATGTAAAACTAATCTGCAACAGCTGATGGCAAAACAGCTTCTTGAAAGTGTGGCCATTTTCAATATGGGCTATGGAATATTTTGTCCATAACCATTCGGGATTTCAAATGAGGTGACGAGACAAGACTTAGATTCTAAACCATTTAAAACAAATTCCTAGAAAATGTTTCTTTCAGCACATCTCCTGTGGAATTCACATTGTGTGTTTTAGTTAATTTCACATTAACTTGATTTTACTAAAGTATTTTAATCGAAATAAGACAATTGGCAAACTTACTTTTGTTTTAGAAAAGATATATACTAAATACACCCAGATGGGCTTAGACCTCCAGGTGACTTTTGTCCCGCAGCTATCAGGGGCTGTCCATCTTCAGTAAAATGAAGATGAGGGGCTGCGAGACTTCTACTCTACTGATGACAGGAAGTTGGGCTACGTCTGTTAAATCTCATCTGTGACCAGCTGACGACATGCTGTCCTCTCACAGCCTGGCTGTATTAAAGCAAACGGAGGCCTCTCGGACGAGCCCTCCCTGACTAATAGAAACAGTGTGTGCACAGTCTCAACTGCAGAAGTCTGATGAGCGACACAAGCAACACAAAAAGTGTATGCTTTACAGCTCCCCCACCCTCCAATGTTAAGGTGCAGTCGTAAACTGAGAATTTACACCCTTCATTAGGGCTAGTACAATGCACATAAGTCCAATGTATAACAATTGGGATGGCTATAAAGTAACCATTTTATACCATCTTAAATCTGTGACTTGTTGGTGACCCTAGTGGAAGCAGTGTTAGGGCAGGCAGATTTACAATGGCTGAATATGCCCTCTGATAGGCCTCTGCGTTTTTAGAGAATTAAATGTGCCAAAATGTAAAACGACTTAAATAATGCTTTTCTGCAGGCAGTCAGAAATATAAGTCTCCAATGCATAATTTACAACTTGTTGCTCCAGCCTTGTTTTTCCTAATGAAAAAAAATCACATTGATTTGTGCCTAGCTTTAGCTTTACAGCCCGTTAGGGAAGAATGGAGACCCACCTCTTTTTTTCCTGCTCTGAAGTCTCTGTGGATTGGTCTATCAACATGACATATGGTGTGTAAAAATAGCCCAGGTTAACAGATTAAGATGATACAATATGGCTGAAGAAATATGGTGGGTGTGCATTGTATGTTTTTTGAACAATGCATTCACATCTTTAGAAATGAAGTCATGATTCATCAAGGCAGCACAACATATACACGCCTTTTGCAAAACGCCTTTATTGTAACACTATCATTTTATTTGTTACAATGCCTTGAAAAAGATTTTTCTACCCAGACATTTAGAATATTTTGTATTTTTATCCTTACAAGTACTTTATGTGACGCTACAATCCAAAGTTACATATAAATGTAACTAAATAAATAAAAGAAACAAAGTGGAAGAAAAATTATATGATTGAAAAAAATCTTTAATATATGTCTTTTAAATTTTTTCAGACGCCTTAGTCTATCATTCGTAGAACCACCCTCTGCTGTAGTTAAAGCTGCAAGTCTTTGGGATCAGTTCCTATCGTCATTTCAACTTCAGAGTCTAAAATTTGTGCTTATTCTCTTTTGCAAAGACTCAAGCTCAGAGAGTTTAAACATACGGCTGTGACTACAAATCTTATAACCTTATCCTATATACTGAGGTGAAATTAGGTCTGGTTTTTGACTGGGCCAGTTTAACGCATCAATAAGTTTGATCTAAACCACCAGATTTATAAAGAGCATTACTAATTGTTTTTCTATCAACAGATTTGACCACCTGAGTGGTAGATCTCTGCAGCTCCTCCATTCGTGCTCTCTATTTCAGCCTGTAAGTTCAGGTGGAAAGTCAGGTCTGTTATGGATTGCAGTTATTAGCCAATTAAAGCTTGAGTTGTTGTTTTAAACTAAAACATTGCTGTGAAACCTGATCTGTTCCACTGTTGGTCTTCATGGTCTTAATGTTCTCTAACAAAGCATTAAGGAAACACACAAGTTAATTGTGATGTGAATAGGTGACTTCAGAAGGGAGTTGGTTGCACTAATTTTAGGGTTAACATTTAAAAGAGCCTAGATAGATATGCACACCTCACTTTGTCAGATTTATTTGTAAAATATAAATCCCAAGAAAATACTTTTAGGCTGCAGTGTAACAAAATGTGAACTAATTTCCATGGAATTTCTTAAAATGTGGACAATGTAACAGACTAGAAGAGTTGAACTCTTTTGCTTTATTTAACATGTGAGAATTATTTTTTTTGGTAGAAGACACAATCAGGCCACGGTCTATTATGTTTTTTTTTTCTTTTTTTTTCTTGCAGCAAAAGACAGTCACTCACCTGACTACCATCAGTGTCAAAGGGTGGCACCCACTCAGCGGGGGATCCTGAGTCGAGCCCATTGATGAGATGAAACAGGTTGACTTCTCCCTCAGCCTGAAGTGGAATGAAAAACAAATGTCATGGAGGGTGACAGAGAGCGTCTGTGTCTTATCAGTCCGGACAATGTGAGTGATGGTTCTTATCTGGCCCCCTGCTCCGTGGCTGTTTATTATCCCAGGGTGGCAGGGCGGTGCTGGGAAGAGAGGAGAACTGGGAGCCCCTTCGTGATCCATCACTCCGGAGGTCTCCTTCCTCTCTTATCTGACTGCTACATGGATAACCGCAGCTCTTGTTTACAGACGCCAGCTATTTGAATGAGTAGCAGGCGTAGGAAACGATTCCTTGGATCTCTTTATCAGTCCAGGTGAGTTTTAAGCAGGATGGGGTAAATCACATTATTTTTCTTTCACATTCCAACATTCACATGCATATACAGACATACAAAAACTCGAAAAAAAAAAAAAAAGCCAGGAAATACATTTACACTTATGAACACTATTATAAGCAATCACAAAAAAGTTTTTTCTTGCAACATGAATGAACAAAAAAGATCAAACAGTAATGCAAGGCAGCAATGCACCAGGGAGGATAAGCTTGTCTGTCTGCTCCGTTTATCTCTTCTCATGAAGTACATTCATTTTTGTTATCATGTTTTGATTTTCTCGCTTATCTGAGTCAGCATGTGTTGTCAGTGTATGCAAGAGAGAGCGCTGATGTGAGTAAAAGGAAACTATCAGTGCCCACTGAGTACTCTGTTGATGTTACTGCATTTCACAGCATCATATCCTGAATAGGAAGTGTCGTTTCTATATTTTCCTCATGTTGTTGAAAGGAAAACCTCAATAAAGATGGCTATTTTTTCACTTGTTCCATTTCCTTACACAAGCTCTTCTGGGGTATTTCTGTATCTCCCCCTGGCAGGGCAGAATGCCTAGGTTTCCATTTCAAACAGGGTCCTCATGTCCATCACATCAACAGGGGTCTGGTCTAAAATACATACCTTCTGTCAAAGCCAGGGGATCGATGGTGGGTAGAATGAAAAGATGGCAGGAGGGAGGGGATGATATGCGTAAGCGGTGCTTAAGCTACCAGGTGCCCATTTCCTTGGGTTTCAGTCATGGGCCGGCCTTCCTTTCCAATGTATGTCACTTCTTGTTAAAGGTGAAGAGTTGGTTTGAACAAAGTCAGACCAAGTTGGTTTGGCTTTTTTGGGATGTCCCAAAAGGAAATCCCAACAAAGTCTGTCAGTCTACCTCTCCTTTGGCATGCTTGCACACTGCAGCTTATGTCCATACCAATTTTAGTATCATAAGTTGCTGTGGTCTTAACGGATGCTAATTGCAACCGAGGGAAAAAATTAAATATGGGCAGCAACCGTGAAGATGGAATGAGGATTGTGAAAGTGCCAGTGTTGGGAGTGTGGATGTGGGATTTATTAAGGGAAAATGTAATGAAAACAAAATGACGTGTTCTCATGAAATTATGTGAAAAGACCTTGAGGTCAGTGCAGAATGCCAGCCTGTTACAGAGGGAGGACGGCATACCTGTGATAAACAGGGCGCTGTAGTCAAGGGCCAGGTCATCTATTGCCACTGACTGGACTAAACAAAAACACAAGAGAGACTGAAAGACTGACTGAAAGTTTAGGAATTTCTCCCATCTCCTTAAAGAAATATGTTTGTTCATCACTTCCTTGTTTACCTTCATTTCACTTCTTCTTTTTCTAAACTGTCCTTGCTCTCTGATTATGCCAAGTTTTTTTTTTTTTTCTCTGGGAACAATAGTTACTAGGAAGTATGATGCTACTTCTAAGTTTCGAATGACACAAAAAATAAAATTTATTCCCATCCCATCATTTGTTTACTCATGTTTGTTGCCTGTACACTTAGGCTCATTTGTACAAATATGCTAATGATTTCTAATGTTAAAAGTTGTCCTCATTTACTTCTGAGAAAAGATTATGCTTCAGCTCATTCTTTATTCTTGCTTCTATCATTTGTCAGTATATGCAAACACTGGGCGAAGAAGCACACTGCATCATGTTATTATGTCCAGTCTAACACCGGCCATCTCCGTAAATCATTTTTTATTACAGTGTCATCTGAAAGAATGAACTTATGATATGCTAGCATAATTACTGTCTGTTTTTCAATTGAAGGAATCCTAATATCGCAAAAGCCCATCACTAATGCGTTTTAATTTGTCTGTGTTTAATATATAAGGTAAAAACAGCATTTATAAACAGCCCACCTCAACTTAATAGTATTCAATTAATCATTGGCTGGTCCCAGTTGGAGCCAAAATAATGACAATTTAATAATGCGGTGTTTATAGCAGTGCAGATTACCAAGTATTTATAAATGTCACAGGCTGGTCTGTAATGCACATTGACAAGGAAACATGCGCAGGGCTCAGCAGTGTCTGCTCCCATGCAATGCAACAAATGTACCATCCCCATAGCAAAGCGGCTATGAATAACTGTGATAATCACTTCACAATGGGTTCATTTATCAAAGTATGAGGAGCACAAGTGGTGGGATGATTACCCTGCCTTTGTGTTTTCTGTTGTGCAGGTTTGTTTTTGCTAAAGAATTGAAAAGACAAACGTCTCTGGAGAGCACTTTTATAGACTACTCATTATTTATTTGTCTGTTTGGACTCTTAGTGCTTTTTTTGTCACATTTGACTTAAGGCCCAACATGTTTGTTGAATTTACTTATAACAATAGTTATTGTTTTTAAGTATGAAAACCAATAACCACTGCAGAAAGAGTTAGAGTGTGAAGCACAGGAGATTACAATGAACATACAACTCCACATTATCTGAAATTTGAGGTTTTGAAAACAAAATTATTCAAAACCTCTGTGATTGTTGCTAGAAGACCCAGTTCTTTATTATTATTTTTTTCTTTTGTAGTTTATCATTAGCCAATGTTGTTTCTTTAACACATTTCATTTAAAAATCACCCATTTGTAGTTGTTAACAAGATTTCAATTGAAAAGAGCAGACAAATGTTCCCCCCGGCGTGTAAATTTGTACTTCTTCACGCAGAAGTGACCCTTGGAAATTGGGTGAACCCTAGTAAATCTCATGGAATTTTCAATTAATCACAGTTGTTATGCCCACCCCCTATTTCCATGCACCATTCCAAATATGTCTATATATATAAAATTACACAGTTGACGAACACACAAATAACAAAAAGAAAAGATGTAATTATTTGTCATGTTATTAATAATGCATTTAATAAATTAGTACCATGAAAAAGTAGTTCTGTAATGTAGTATACTAAGCTTTTCTTTTTATTAAATCAGACAATCAGATCATTTGGAACAGAGAGGGTGCATATCCCTTTTTGGCTATGCTGACTTCTTACAGAAATGCTATGGGTCTTGTATGGAGGTCCTTTCCTGGCAGAGTAACATTACAGTAAGTTGTAATGTTAGGTAATGCAACTTGAGGTAATGCAACTTGAGGGATGGTACATCCTCAGACTGGGCTTGGGTCAGGTTTCCTGATCTATTTTAGTTTTATGGTAGATGTCAAAGCAACATCTCCATGAATACTACAGTCATTGTGTCCAACGACTCCCAGGAAAACATGACGAGACGATAGAGATTATTCAAATCCCTTGTCAGTGGTTTGAGGGTTGTTACTAATGTGTTCTTGATGCTCATGTCCAACTTTGTGTAGCTAAATTGGTAACAATGAATCCGACAATATATCACAATTTTCGCCCTTTGACGTTTCTTTCTTATACTGCATGCCTCTAATGTGTTGGAATGGAAAGCTATTTTAAAAGTTGATGAAAAGAAAACATGATTATTGAAGATTCCAGTCAGAACTGGGGTGTGTCCAGAGTTTGTCTGAGTCTGTGTGGTCAGCTGGGTGACAAACAACTTCCCGTCATTGTCAGCGGTAGACCTCATCACAAGCATTTTAATATGTAGGTAGCATTTAGCAGCTGAAAACAATACTAACATAAACTAAGAATAGCTTTGGTGTTGGAAAATGATGACTCCCATCCTGAGAGGAAAATTCACCATAATTAATGCCGTATTTAGAAAGAGTTGGGGCTCTTTTATTTGATAGAAAGTTGTTCAGACATAAGTTTCCAAGTAATCATCAGACCTGTATTAGTCAGGCATGTGCACTTTGTGCAATGCTAACATTTAAATCGGGGCAAACAGCTGATGAGAAGATAAATGAGGTATGGGAATTTGATCTTGTTGGTGGGGGGTGAACTGCTCTGTGCTATGCATGTAAAAGTGTGGAGATGGACAGGTTGACAAATGTAGAAGAAAAAGAGACAGCAGAGCCGCAGAAGCTGCTTGGTGGGGATGTGAAAGGAAGGAGGTAGTGGTGCACTGGCCAACCTGGGACCAGAGAAAGGTCATGGTGAAATGGAAACTGATTCTCCACCCTGCCTCCCTGGGTAATATCCCATGACGCTGCTGTTCTGCCCTCCCATGCAATGATGTTAAGCTGTCTTTACAACCCAAAACTGTAGTTGGGCTCCATCAGCAGGAACAGAGCAAAGCAGAGTGTCTGCTCGACCGCACCTTTCACTATCAGTAAAGTGGTGTCTCTGTAATGATGATGGTGCAGTTACAGAGAAGGGGAATAATTTGTACCTTAGGTTTTAACGAGATAATTTCAGCTCTTACAAGGTAACTTCCTTTTTGCCTTGCAAACATATACTGTTTGTTTCAGCAGAACCTTCACAACCATTGTTTTTAGAAAGCTGGAGTTTGGCTTTTTGGGTAAATAGACTTTGCTGTGAAAAATAAGTGGCAATTTGATATTATGTTTCCTTTGTATAGTTGTGTGCACATTTCCTCTGCTTGTTGATATGAAGACAACATATAGCTTTTTAAAGGTATCTACTTGCAATGCATTTCAAAGACAGAAAGCAGAAACATTTTCAACAATACAGTTTTATTCTCATTAATGTGAACATTGTCCTCAACCTCAACTGCATTTTTGTATAACAATACATTTAGGTGAAATCAAAAGATTCTTTTGACAAATATTATTTATAATATTTATTTTTTATATTTATTTGCAGGTTACTGACACAGATTTGTCTCTTTTAAAATTAAAAGGTTACAAATTTTGTCTCAATTCAATAACTGCCTTCCATATAGTACAGACACACATGTTACACGTTCAATAAATTTGTTAAAACCAAAGCCATGCATATGCATCTCAAAAGTATCAAAGGCATTTCCGGTTATTAACCTCATGGTGACCAACATTTCTGTAAGAAAAGTTTGTCATACACTGTCCTATTGAAACATTAGAGTCATAAGTTTCTGATGGTTAAGGCTGAAAATATATCACTTTGACAAAAGTTTTATA